GGAGCTGACGCAGGGAGAAGGAGGAGAGGAGAAGAAGAAGAAAGAGAGAGAAAGAGGAAGGAGAAAAACGAGGGGAGCCCTGACCTTGCCACACCACGGCTGTCGCCACCACTGAGGAGAAGAGGTAGGAGAGCACCGGGAGGGCAAGGACACATGGCTGAGCCCAGCCCCAACCCGAGCCTACATCATGGCGGCTAGCGCTCCAAGAGAGCAGGCCGGGGCCCAGAGGAAGGCTGTGTGACAGAGGAGACCACAGAAGAGAAGATATTATTTCTTTTTAAAGTAACCTTTAAAAATAACTTTTTTTCTCTCCCCCTCCCCCAAAAGTGTCCCCGGATTCCTTGAAAAAAGTCTGGTAACCTTAGTTTGAGCCCCATGTTGGGCAAGGGATTCCTGCGTTGCAGGGGGTTGAACTAGATGACCCTCGTGGTCCCTTCCAATTCTACAATTCTATGATTCTGTGATAAAGGAAACTGTTTTATACTATGTCAGACTTTCGTAGCATCATGAGCATGCTCAGACATTTACTCAATGGGTGAGAGATCCACGCAAAAGTGATTGCTGTCTGCAAGCAACCTCACCCATTATGTTTGTTTTAATAATTTTAGAAACTTAAGGTTTGATTCAGCCAGGTTTGGTGAAGGGAAGGGCTGTATGGATCAATGGTGTGACTCAGTGATGCTCAGCAGTAGAGCACCTGCTTGGCATGCAGAAGGTCCCAATCCCCAGAATCTTCAGGTAGGGCTGGGAGAGACTCCTCTCCCTGCAAGACAGGAGAGCGGCTGCCAGTCAGTGTTGACAACACTGTTGGTTGGCATAAGGCAGCTTCCTGTGGAGGGCACAGCAAACAAACTGACTGAGACATGACCCAGAGTTGCCTAGAGAGAAGGTATTTGGCTGTTCAGAAGTGTTCTTAATCTCCTCCCTTTAAAGAAGACTTAGTCTTATCAGGCACCTGCCTCTTTTATGATCTGCAACTATCCATCACTCTGGGATGCGATGAACCAGGCTGGGCACGGAGCCACCTCGGATAGTAGAGAGCAGTGGGAGTAGACTGATAACAGAACCTCGACCTTCAAGGAGTATCCCAGCATCTCACAGAATCCTCATTAGGACACGCCAAACGAGGCTTTCTTTGGCGAGATGAGAAAGTATTAAGGCGCACAGGAAACTAGGAGGGATATTAGCTGCAGGAGCTCAGGGGAGACCCCTTTGGCAGAAACGGTATAGCTCTAAATATTAGGTGCTTGGGGACAAGCAAGAAAGGCAGGCCATACCCATGCTCTCTTTGGGAGTTTCCCAGAAACAACTGGCTGGCTACAGCTGGAAAGAGAATTGTTACAAAAGTTGGGCACCACTCCCACTCTCGGCCGAGCGGTAGCAAGATTCCTAATTCACATTTTCCAAAACAATCTGCAGACCAAAACACAGCTGTCTTGCAAAATTTGCACTTCTCTGAATTTTGTAATAGCAGTGCTCTGGCCAATAAATGTGTAGAAAAAGGCATGTGTTAGGTGTGCCTATTAATGCATACACTGGTGAAAAGAATATACAAAAAAAATTGCAAAAATGTGTGGATTAGTCAAAGCTTATACAAAATGTGTTTGCTTTGAGAAGCCCACACTAAAATACAGTGGTACCTCGGGTTACATACGCTTCAGGTTACATATGCTTCAGGTTACAGACTCTGATAACCCAGAAATAGTGCTTCAGGTTAAGAACTTTGCTTCAGGATAGGAACAGAAATCGTGCTCCGGCGGTGCGGCAGCAGCAGGAGGCCCCATTAGCTAAAGTGGTGCTTCAGGTTAAGAACAGTTTCAGGTTAAAAACGGACCTCCGGAATGAATTAAGTACTTAACCCAAGGTACCACTATATGGAGAAATTTTCAAGAGGAATTGCAGATTGCTGGCAAAATGTGAAGAACTGAATTTAAGATGGGAGAAATGAGAACTGAAATTGTGAACTGAGTTTAACTTCTCCCCCACCCCAAGTGTCATTGAACCCATGCACGTATCAGTTCCTAGATTATGTGAACTAATTATGTGAACTTATCTACATTCCAATCCCCACAGGGGTCTGTTGCTCCCGACCCCACCCCAAAAATATTGTGCCCTAAAATGCAGAATGAACCAGAATCCTCTGACATCCCTCCAAATGAAGACCATTTGTAGTTCAGGGAAGTGCCATGTCTCATTCTCACACAGGTCTATGCACCTGGTGGTCATGTAAGCCGAATGCAGACCACCAGCTACAGAATCAGCATGAGGGTTATAACATTCATGCTTCTTAACTGTATCTCCAAGACTCTGAAAATGGGGCAAGGAGTTGAAGCACCTAGCAGAATTTTATAGCTGCTTGGAAGGATTATCAGTTGTGAATTTCTCCAAATATTGGCAAGCATGGATTAGGCTGTACCTGTTGTAAACTGGAATGGCGCTTCTAGAATTCTTGCAACCGCACAAATAAAATGAATTCAGCATGTTCCTTCCTGTTCACTGGCTGGAGACCCGATTGTCCATTAAGAGACTCATTGCTTTGGCACCAATTCTTTTCTGAGGATCAAATCCTCTGCCCTTTACCCCTGCTATATTGGGGGTGGGTGAGAGATTTGATTTGTTTGCATTTTAATGAGAAACTTCCTGACGTGCAGTTCTCAAACCAATGCATGAAGCAAAACTCAGTTATCCTTCAAAATCTGCACTTCTCCCAAGTTTGCAATTCAGCTCTCAAGCCAAATAATGTGAACAAAAATGCATATATTTGGGGAAAGTTTGCATAAAAACACATTAGTGAAAACAATATTGATGCGTTGTGATAGGGGGAATCACATGCAAAAATGCGCACTTTGGTCAAAACTGCGTACAAAAATGTGTCTGTGAGGTGAAAACCACCCTCAAAGGCTGATTCATTTTTATGAGGATTTTTAAAAAGGATCACAAATTGGTGCAAAAAAATGTGGGGAACTGAATGTAAGATTGGGAAAATGAGGAACAAAGAGAAACTGAAAATGACAGCTCCATCAATCCCTAACTGCATCTCTCTCTGATAGAGGAAATGGTATGGGGCACTTTCACATACTCTGATTTCGCACTTCAGGATGGCAGGGCTGAGTTCTGGGCCAAACCAAGACCTGCTTTCGCAGAGGGGCATCCAGCCTTGAGAACTGCAAGTCTTTGAAAATTAATCCCGGCTGGTGTTTCCATAGAATGAAGTCTCTTGCTGTGCATCCTCAAGCAATATAGGGCTAAATTGCTCCTTGCTCATCATGGGGACTGTCAATGAAGTGGCTGAATTGTGTGGTCTGCCACAGAAAGCATCCCTCCCATAGACACTCACACTCATTCACCCACCCACCCTGCCCCACTCTGTTCCCATCCTCCCAGCCCATCAGGCTCCACGTTCTGGAGACTGTAAGATCCTTTAAACACCAGCCTCAACCTCCTCAGAGGAGCCTTCTGCTTCCCACCCCGAGCCCAGGGGACTGAAGAAAATAGGCTGTGCCGGCTACTTTCTGGAGCCTGAGGTTAGGGGGAGAGAGGAGGAACAGCAAGCTTAATTATCAGTGTGCAAAATGGAAAGATTACATGCTGGCGGAGTTGGCAAACAGGCATGCAGTCTGACATAAATTATCCTGAGGGCAGGCAGGGGGACTCCCTGCTCAAGACTCTCTTACTTCCCTGCCCTTCAGAAGAAGGAGCACAGGAAGCGACCTTATCCTGAGGCAGACCACTGACTGGCAGAGGCTCTGCAGCCTGTCAGTCAAGGGTCCTGCCCCCCCCCCCCCAGCCGTCCCTAGAGATGCCAGAGACTGAACCTGGACCTTCTGCATGGAAAGCAGATGCTATGGGTTATAGGAAGGAACAAAAGAAGCTACCTTATCCTGAGACAGACCCTGGGGCCAAAGCTTAGTATTGTCTGCACTGACTGGCAGTGTCTCTCTAGAGCTTCAGGCAGGGGGCATTCCCAACCCTACCTGGAGGTGTTGGGGACTGAACCTTCTGTGTGCAAAGCAGATGCTCTATTACTGAGCTACAGCCCTTCCCTCTCTCCTTCCTTCCTTCCTTCCTTCCTTCCTTCCTTCCTACCTTCCTTCCTTCCTTCCCAAAGTTTTGAGAGCCTCCGCATCAAGCCCAGGTCTTGGAAATCCCATTTTCTGGTGCCGCAGTATCTAATGCAAAGGGATTCGTCAGCAGATGGTCAAGGACGTGGCTGGCGTTTACCGCTCCCCCTCCTCCGATTTCCGTCAAGTTCACGGGCGCCCCCCTGAGCAACCGACAGCAGAACCACCCTAACAGCTTGATCAGTCAGATGGAAGGGTGAGCCAGCAGAAGAGAGCTCCCTCTTCCCTTTAGGCCAAATTATTTGTTGTCATTAGAATAAATTAGGTATCAAGTTAGAAAACAATGGGGTGGTGACAGATAGCTGGAACGGCAGAGCGAGAGGCCTCGTCGGAGGCGAGCAGGCTGCGTTTTCTGGAAGCTGATGGGATGGCATGGGAAGCCGCCTTATCTGGTTGGTGACGTGGAAGTCTGCAGCCCATCTGCCTCGCCAGGCTGTTAGGAAATCAACTCCAAGCGTGAAGCTATCTGGGGAGAGAGAGAGAGAGAGAGAGAGAGAGAGAGAGGGAGTCATGTTCTCTCTAAAAAGCTCAAACTTCTTAAGAATATAGTTCCTGTACATCGCAAGTGGGACATACATGTTTATCATAAGAAGAGACCCGCCGGATCAGGCCATTGGCCCATCTAGACCATCTCAGCACGGCCAATCACTTGCCTATGGGAAACCTGCAATCAGGATTCGAACACAAGAGCACTCCTCCTCCTTTGTGAATATGTCCAATCCTCATTTAAGCCATCCAAGTTGATGTACTTCTAGGTGGACTGGGTCCTTTATTTCCCAGTGCATGGATTGGTAAAGAATAAATGCATGGATTGGTAAGGAATATATCTATATCTATTTATATATCATATAGCAGAGCTAGTCCCAGAGCAGATGAAGTGCATAGCCCAGAAGGGAAAGGCTGCAACCCTTATAGACCATCTGCTTTGCATGCAGAAGGTCCCAGGTTCAATCCCTGGCATCTCCAGGTAGGGTTGGGAAAGTCTCCTACCTGGAGAGCTGCTGCCAGTCTGGGTAGACAATACTAAGATAGATTGAACCCAATGGTCTAGCTCAGCATAAGTCAACCTCCTCTGTTCGTAATTCAATGAAGCTGCTTCTTCCAGGCCTCTGTTCCTAGCATTTGACATTGCTGGTTCACATATATGGTTTTCTTGTTTGAAACATATTTTATTATCTCACCTTTCCTCAATAGAGCTCTTGGAGGCTAAGGAAAATGGAGGGCAGGGTAGTTAGAATACAAAACAGGCCTCTTTTCATTTCGTGAGGATGGATATGGTTCTGCCGGTGAGCCCTTTCAAGACCTTAAATCTCCCCTACCCAGCAACTTAGGCTCAGCAACGTGTTCCTAATTTGCTGTTCACAAATGGACTCCTTTGCCACCCATCCAAGGCAGGAGATGTAGGGGTACTCTCAAAACAGGACACTGCAAGGTAAATTCATAGCTGGGTTTTTAAAGGTAAGAAACACAGAGTGAGGGGGGGAGACCACAAGGCTCCCCTGGGCTCCCCTTTCCCCTTTTTCACCCTGTTCCATCTTCCCAAAAGCAGCTGGCCTATGGCAACTCTCGACAGACGGGTTGTGAAGGGTGTGCTTGCAGCTGTGCCTAACTGACACGCAAGGCTGGATTTCAAATTTGCTGGGCTGGCAAATTCCCTGGGAAGGGCTGCTGGAGGGGGTGGCCCCCACAGTTGCTGCTGCGAGAGCTTGTCTGTTTGCAGCGGCACTAATTGGAATAAAATGGCAGCGAGCATCCCAGTTGGACGATGGAGCATCTCTGCTGCTCCCCCTATGGCGGAGTGACCACTGGGGGCTCCTTGGCTGCCTGCCAGGGCTGGATGTGGCCCCTGGAGAGAGGATTATGGCAGGAGGTGCACAGGTGGCCCCTCCAGCTGTTGGTTTCTTATTTCATGCAACAGCAGGGCTCTCAGTCTTCTCGCTTAGAGGTGAGGAAGGAAGGCAGTTGGTGTCTTCGGAAATAGTTGCGGACAGCCAATCACCACTGGGGCTCCCCTGCTGCGTTCCCCGAGGCACCTGCTTCCAGGTTGGCAAAGGCAGCTCTAGATTGGGGGGGTAGCCCCTTTAAAAGTAGCCCATAAAGGGAGGAGGAGCTTGTATCAGGTGGCATGACGCCGCTGCTTCTTAAAGGTGCAGGAGACCAATTAAGGTCTGATTTACTCCTGAAATGCAGGGGGAGCTCTACTGTATCAACGTTGGCTCAGTAAACAAGAAGCAAAGCAATATTCATAGACTAATAGAATTGCAGAGTTGGAAGGGATCCAAAGGGTCATTTAATAATAAAAATAAAAACAAAACCCTGCAATGCAGGAATCACAGCATGGTGGAGAGAAAGTGGATGGGTCCTCTCATAACAGTAGAACCGAACGGGGCCATCCAATGAAACTGAAGGTTAGAAAATTCCAGACAGATGTAAGGAATTATTTACAAAGTGCATAGTTAAACTGTGGAACTCACTCCCACAAGAGGCAGTGATGGTCATCAACTTGGGTGGCTTTAAAAGAGGACTGGACAAATTCATGGAGAAGGAGGCTATCAGTAATACCTCTGACTACCAGCTGCTGGACAATGTGATTTAGATTATGCATGGTGGGGAGGAAGTGGATCGGTTCTCTGATAATTCTAGAACCCAGAAAGACCACCCAATGAAGTTGGATGTTGGAAGATTTCAGGCAGATGAAAGGAAGTCTTTCTTCACACAGTGAAATTGGTTCCCACAAGAGACAGTGGTGGCCACCAACTTGGATGGCTTTAAAAGAGGATTAGACGATTTCAGGAAGGATAAGGCTATCAATTGCTACAAACCATGGTGGCTATGAGAGCCATAGCTCAGTAGAAGAGTATCTGCTTTGTGTGCACAAGGTCCCAGGTTCAGTTCCCACAAACATCTCCAGGTAAGGCTAGGAGAGAACCCTGTCTGAAACTTTGACGAGCTGCTCCCAGCCAGCAGGGACAATACTAAGCTAGCTGAACCAATGGTCCAACTTGGTACAAGGCAGCTCTCTATGCTCCCGCGTTCCTGTGTACCTCCACTGTCGGAGGCAATATGGCTCTGAATACGAGTTTCTGGGATGCGTAAAATTGTGTACAAAAATGCAAAGATTAGGAGAAACTCTTTTAGAGACACCCTTGAAGACCACTTTTATTTACCCACACCTAGTCTGATTGGTATTTTTCAAATGATTATCTGCTGATCATGTTTTTGTGTTGTTTGTTATTTTAACTGTATTATTCTCAGGGAATGTTTTATATTATTTGGGGTGGAAGGTGGTGGACACTCATTCCTCAGAGGTTTTTAAGCAGTGCTTGTACACTGCTGATATTCTATAATGTGAGCAGTTCAGACATAGCTCAAAGTATATATTTTTTAAAATGCTGTTGAAAAAAATGAATGCCAAACATTTATGTAGAATTAAGCAAAGTGGCCCACCATGCAGCATTGTCTGGATGGAGATATGAGAGCCGTCTTCAAATATCTAAAGGGCTGTCACATAGAAGATGGAACAAGATTGCTTTTTCCTGCTCCAGACGCTAGGACCTGAACCAATGGATTCAAATTACAAGAAAGGAGTTTCCAACTAAACATCAGGAAGAACTTTCTGACAGTAAAAGCTTAACAGACTTCCTTGGAAGGTTGTGGACTTGTTGGAGGTTTTCAAGCAGAGGTTTGATGGCCACCTGTCATGTATGATTTAGTTGAGATTCCTGTATTGCAGAGGGTTAGACTAGAGGACCCTTGGGGTCCCTTCCGACTCTGCAATTCTATGATTCTATGGTGACAAAATCTCAGAATCAGTAGCAGCCAAACCCTACACTTAAGATGCTATGATACTACATTAAACAGTTGTGGCTTCACCTCAAAGTAGTCTGGGAGCCACAGTTTGTTAAGGGTGCTGAGAGTTCTTAGAAGAGGTTCTATTCTCTTCTCAGAACTTCAGTCCCCAGAGCTCCCAGGGTTGAGGAACTTACTGTGAAACCACTCTGGGAACTTGCGCTCTGTGAGGGAAATAAAGGGGTCTCCTAACAGCTCTCAGCACCCTTAACAAACTATGGCTCCCAGAATTTGGGGGGTGGGGGGACGACTACATCATAACTGTTTATAAAGTGGTAAAAGAGTCTAATTCCATCCTAGGATATAGAATTTAAGAAGGCCAATTTCAAAAAGCTGAAGGAGCTACTGGGTGTGATCAGGGCCATCTTAAGTATATTCGGCGCCATGGTGAAAAGGTCCCTCTGGTGCCGCCCCCCCCCCATTTCCCAGAGTTGCCGACCTTTTTACGGCACCGCTGGCAGCTTTGTGGGAATGGAGGAGGTGGGCAGTGGCTGGAGGGCAGCTCCTCTGGTGGGGAAGAGGAGGAGGCTCCGGGCACGACGCTGCTTCAGCGAGGCGGGTGAGGGCGGTGAGTTGATGCTGGGAAGCGCCATGTCCAGCCTCCGCCTCTTCCCTGGTGCCCTCCAGAACTTTGCGCCCTGGCACCCCACGCCACTTGCCTCTATGGGCAAGACGCCCCTGGGTGTGATCCCGTGGTCAGAAATACTCAATGAAAATGGAGACCAAGAAGGATGGGAGTTTTTAAAAGGAGAAATATAGAAGGCAATACCAACAAGAAAGAAAAGTGGGAGGCATCTAAGGAAACCAGTGTGGCTGCATAAGGAGCTTACAGATGAGCTGAGAGTTAAGAAGGGCATGTATAAGAAATGGAAGAAAGGGAAAATCACAAAGGAGGAGTATACACTAGTAGCCAACAGTTGCAGGGAGAAAGTCAGGCTGGATAAAGCTCAGAATGGGCTCAAGCTTGCAAGAGAGGTTAAAAATAATATAAACGGTTTCTTCGGCTATGTCTGAAGTAAGAGAAAGAACAAGCAAGTGGTAGGTCCTCTGATGGGGAACATGGAGAAATGCATTGGGTGACAGAGAAAACGTGGAACTACTCAACGCCTACTTTGCCTCTGTCTTCACCCAAAAGGAAAGTGATGCCCAACCTGGTGATAACATAATAAATGATGTAAGAAGGAAGCTGCAGCCCAAGATAGGAAAAGAGGTAGTAAGGGAACACCTAGCTACTTTAAATGAATTCAAATATCCAGGGCCTGATGAGCTGCATCCAAGGATACTAAAGGAGCTTGAAGGTGTAATTTCAGAGCCTTTGTCTATTATCTTTGAGAATTCCTGGAGAACAGGTGAGGTCCCTACAGACTGGAGGTGGGCAAATGTTGTTCTCATCTTCCCCTCATCTTCAAAAAAGGGGGAAAGGAAGACCCAGGTGAGGTTGACCTCGATACCAAGGAAGGTCCTAGAACAGATCATTCAACAGTCGGTCTGTGAGCATTTAGAAAAGGATGCTGTGATTACTAAGACCCAGCATGGGTTTCTCAAAAATAAGTCATGCCAGACCAATCTGATTTCTTTGTTTGATGGAATTACAAACTTGGTGGATCAGGGAAATGCTGTGGACATAATGTATCTTGATTTCAGTAAGGCTTTTGACAAAGTCCCCCATGCTATTCTCATGAGGAAGCTGGTAAAATGTGGGTTGAACGAGGTAATTGTTAGGTGGATTTGTAGCTGGTTGACCAATCGAACCCAAAGAGTGGCAAGTGGGTTGCTGCAGGGTTTTGTCCTGGGCCCGTTGTTGTTTAACGTCTTTATAAATGACTTGGATGAAAGAATTGAGGAGATGCTCATCAAATCTGCAGATGACACCAGACTGGGCAGCTAATGCCACAGAAGACAGAATCAGAATTCAAAATGTCCTTAACAGATTGGAGAAGTGGGCACAAGCTAACAAAATAAATTTCAATAGGGACAAATGTAAGGTTCTGCACTTAGGCAGGAAGAACCAGATGCACAAATATAGGATGGGGGACACCTGGCTTACTAGCAGTACATATGAAAAGGATTTAGGGGTCTTGGTGGACCACAAGCTTAACATTGTTGACCCATGTTAA